AAAAAAAAAAAAAAAAAAAAAAAAAAAAAAAAAAAAAAAAAAAAAACCTCATGATAGTAAATAGATAGATAGATAGATAGATAGATAGATAGATAGATAGATAGATAGACAGAGAGACAGAGAGATATAGAGATAAAAATAGATAATAGATAATGATGATGAAGATAAATAGATAAATGAATGATAGATAATATATTTTAACCAAAAATGGGAAGCACATGAGAGCCGAGGTTGTCATATATTGTAAGCTGGATAATGTCTCCCCACAAAATCTGGAACATCTATTTATTAAAAACACAGTTGAAAAAATGAAATATCAAGCTACAGAAGATATTATATATATTTACATATAAACAAAAGACTTCTATCCAGAATATATAAACATTTCTACTAATCAATAACAAAGTGGTTGATAACTCAATATAAAAAATGAGCAAAAGATCTGAAAAGAAATTTTAGAGAAAGACAGTACAGATCGCCAACAAACAACAGAAAGGCATTTAACATCATTATTGATGATGAAATGCTAATTAAATCACAAGTCCATGCCAGTGTTCCTCTATAATCAAAGTTAAACCACTGCCATCAAGAGTAAAGGATGTAGAATAACTGGGATGCTCATGCATTGCTGGTGGGCATTTAAGCGTATTCAACTACATTGAAAAGTTGTTTGTTAATACCTACTGAAGTTAGACATACTCCCAACTGATACCTCAGGAACATACCCAAGAAAAATGAATGCATATGTTTACCATGTGCCATGGACTAGTGTGTTCACATCATTCTCATTCTGAAAAAACACAAATGGAAAACAATTGAATGTCCCTCAACAGTAAACAAATTGTAGGACATTCCTGTCATGGAAAACTACACAGGATGGGAATGACAATCCAGGAAAGCATGAAGGATTCCCAAGCCGTCAGTCAGAGTATTGGTTTCCTGTGTATGTACCGACTTGGAAGAGGAGGTACAATGAGGGTGTTGAAAAGGCATGAGACTTTCTCTGTGACATTCATAGGAGTAAGTCCATAAGTAACATTCAAGCTCACACTAGGACTGCATCTCCTATGTGGTCCCCTGAGCCTCTGAAAGTGTATGCCAGAGCACATGATTCTTCTGCTCCAACCCATAAGTGGCTGAGTGACTCTGTCTCACTCAGAGTCGAAGTTGAATCCCAGTGAGTTGCCTTAGGAGCACATACTGCTATCCTCCTTTATTCAATTTTGTTTCTTTGTTTGTTTTTTGTTTTTCTTTGATGGCTGCCACTAAAGTTCACTTGCTCAAGGCACTGCCCTGAGTGGTCCCTTTGCCTGAGATGTGCAGTCCTCTCTCTCAAAGATACAAAGATTACAGTCCCTCCTTCAAGGCTGTTTGGATGCCATATAATCACTTGAGCTTCACCCTAATTTCAAAGCTGTAAAGCCCTCCATTATCGCTCTCTCTCTCTCTCTCTCTCTCTCTCTCTCTCTCTCTCTCTCTCTCTCTCTCTCTCTCTCTCTCTCTCTCCCCCAACTCTGTGTGTGTGTATGCACAAGTGCACTTTTATTGGAAACAATTACATTCAGACCAAATATCCTGAAGTAAGAAAAAAACTGGACTTCTGTGAATCTTCAAGAAACAGCAAAATATTAAGACAATGGAAAAGAAAACCTGTTTAACTGGGTTGTTTTTCAGTATAGAAAATTCTCTCACATTCTTACATTCCTAGTCCTTTAGTCTTAAGCAAATATTTAGAATGTACCGAGGCTTTTAAAATGTGGCCTTTGGGGAAGCTTGGGAAACCAGCAGGATGTGGGAAAGTATGACAACATCCCTAACGGTGTGTGTGTGTGTGTGTGTGTGTGTGTGTGTGTGTGTGTGTGTGTGTGTGTAGATGTATACATGTGTATGCGTGTTCATCCAGAAGGAAGGCAGGAACTGAAAGTAATGATGGTGTGGGTAAAATATGCCAAGTAAAAGGAAAACTAATGAGACTTTCACTCACTTGTCCTTATATTGACCCCAGTGAGATTTTTTCCCCTCAGGTTAAAGAAATGACCTTGGTTAAGTAAGAATGAAGCACTAGATTGAGTCAGAGGAACAAGTGTGAATCAGAACTCACAATCAAGGCTTGAAGGTGGGAATTTCTTAGAGCAGCCATTAGCTGTGGGTTGCGCCAGTGAGTCCATGGAAGAGGACCTTCCTATCTCACTGTGGCTAAGTCCTTGAAAGTTCATTTGGGGAAGGAGTCTTACACAATATGTCACTGATTCTGTTTAATGGACCAGACATGCTAGAAATCATCTGCCAAGAAAGGCCCACTTAGTGCACTTTCCAACTCCTGCCACCAATTAACTAGCACAGCATTTGATTGATGCTTATGGATTTTAGGGACAATGTACTCTACATGAATATGTTTTCTTTCACCAAGTTCTTGAGTGTCACGAAACATTATCAGATGGTGGTATGAGTAGTCCTACCAACTGGATCACATGACCTCACAGTGCTAGTCTAGAATGATGGTGGCATCTCTAGTGGGAAAAGATGCTAGAGGGAGTATAGGATCAACTTCAAAAGGAAAACCGTAGCATTGTGGTTTCCTAGGGTGGTTAGAGCCAGGCCATACCACCTGCAGTAGAGGATTACTGTACGCTATTCCCAAAGCATATCTCTATGTGGAACACATCCAGGCAGAGACAAAGCGCAATACCTAAGAGCTCTGTCCAGGTAATCATACACAACCACATTTCCTGTCTACAAGAAGGTTGAAGAGTTACATGCATTGTTGTCCAGTGGCAAAAATGGCTTCCAATTGCCACCTTATAAAATATTCCTAGGAAAGAACTGGCATATCTCCTATGCCCAGTGATCAGCCTGCCACTCACCATATCCTCCTTCTATCTGATGGCTGAATACACAAGCTTTGGTGCTAAATTAGCCTAGAGGGCAGGAAACATGTGCTGAGTTATTCATAGGTTACATGCTAGCAAAGCACAGCACTCTTCTCAGCATCCTTCACCTGAGTTTTCTAACCCTCTAAACAGTTTTACCATCTTGCCTAAGTGTTCTAAGGATGAAAATTTAGCACCTGATAGTAGCATACACTTCAATTTCAAATGCTGTTGCTATGTATTAAATTGTGTGGTTAGTTTTGTAAGTGAAAAAAGAAAAATATATTTTAAAAATACTATTCAAATTCAACAATGGTATGTATGTATATGTGGTGGTTTAAATGAAAATGGTCCCCATAAGCTCACAGGGAATGGCACTGTTAGGAGGTGTGGCCTTATTGGAGGAAGTGTGTCACTGGGCCAGGCCCAGTCTCTTTCTCCTCCTGCTGCCTGCTAATCTGGATATAGAACTCTCAGCTCCTTCTCCAGTACCATGTCTGCCTGCATGCTGCCATGCTAATGGATAATGGTCTAAACCTCTGAACTGTAAGCCAGTCCCAATTAAATGTTTTCCTTTGTAAGAGTTGCCGTGGTCATGGGGTCCTTTCACAGCAATACAACATTGACTAAGACAGTATGTGTGTGTCTTATATATATACACACACAGAGACACAAAGACACCCACACAGGATATTTTTCTCTGAAAATGGATTTATGATTAAATTTATGATTTATGATTAAATTTATAATAAATTTATGATTAAAATTCTCAAACGAATAAAGATTTTATATGGAAAAGTACCTTAGTTTTTCATATATGTGTGTGTGTATGTGTGTGTGTAAAATCAAAATAAATTTTATTTCCCACTTGACTCTAATTGGCAAAATAGACTTGACTCTAATTGGCAAAGTAGATCCACATAAATACAAATAAAACTTGTAAAAGTCATGGATGATGGAGAACTGAG